AAAATCCAAATGAGAGGTTCCGAGTATATCAATATATCAAATCATATAATTTTAATCCATCTCCTCGAGCTCGCCCATAAAAGTTGATAAAAGCACCAAACATGCATCAAACACAATCACAAGATATCCGCAATCCGAAACCACGACTCACATTTATCTTCAATCAAATAAGTTCTCTGCGATAAATCAAATAATATCTCCACAAATAAGTTAAACAATATCTCCACGAGCAAATCAAATAATTCCACGAACAGGTCAAATATCACCACGAACAAATCAAATAATTCCACGATCGAATCCAATATCACGACGAATATATACTTCTCAAATAAATCAAAGAATCCCCACGAATATATCAAACAAATTCTGCACGAATAAATCAAATATTATCTCCACGAATAAATCAAATATCTTCATGAGCAAATCAAATAATATCTCCTCGAACAAATCAAATACCTCCTTGAATAAGTCAAATAATATCCTCGAATCAATCAAATATAATCACGAACAAATCAAATATACTTACGACCAAATCATTTCTCAATTTTCACCAATTTAAAAATCCTAAAGTCTCCATATTTTCCAATTTAAATCAAACAATTTTTTCAATTTCACCAATTTAAAAATCCCTTGAGCCCATAATTTATATTAATTTTATACCTTCATCATGAGAATCCTATCTCAAATTACCTCACCGCCCGTGTCGTATCGTTTCCAAATTTTCTCGGGCATGAAATGGGGTTGTTTATGCTCATTGGACCAAGTTGGAGGAAGTTGGCAGCTTCTGGGCCGCGCTAGAGCTGTTTAAGGGCTAAAATGGACCACTATTAGGATATTGGGCGACATTCTCTTTTCGTTTGATAAATGCCGTGAATATTCGTTGCTGGGCCGAGCAAGGGGCAGCTATGGAAGCGGGCTGGTCGCGGGGGCCTCACATGGGCCACGCGGGCTGAAAGCAAAGACACACGCGGGCTGGACGCGACCCGCAAAATTTTCCTCTCCTTTTGCGGGAGCTGGGCTGCGGTTCTGGATATTGGGTCTGGCCAAGAGGCGGGCTTCACTCTTGGGCCGCATGCATTGGGCCATGCAGTATCAGCTTCTTTCCTGGGCTGCTGAACACGGGCCTCCTCGATGGCCTGTGAACTGAGGATCAATGTGGGTTACTGTCGAGCTGCGAGCAGATCTGCTCGACCCACACCATACTCCAGAAAAAATAGTCGGAAAATTGTTGCTGAAATATGCCTTACCGGCTCCGGCGATATTGAACGACGGAAAGTGCGTCCCGGCGAGGCAAATCCAGTGGTGTCGTCGGTTCGTAGTGGTTCACCATAAATCGACCGGAAAATTGGAAGAGATGACCGGAGGTTGACTAAAAATCTCTTAGACCCAAAAACTTTGACCGCCAAATTGATAGCCTTCCTGAAAGAATTTTTGCTCGAAATTCTAAAGGTAGAACGAGCACGAGGACAGCTTCGCGATGGTGTAAGAATTTTTCCGATCAGACAACTTTGACCGGAGGCAGGCGGCGATGGCGGCGGCGACTGGCAAAAGTAGGGCACTGTAGACTCGTCTCGACGTGAGGATTTCACTGGTGCTCCCGGATTTTTCATAGCCCTCACGGATCACCAGGAAAATGCATTTGAATGTCCAATTTTAACTAATTTTTTGCTAGATCTGGAAACTTTGACCGCAAAATTGACGGCCTTCTCGAAGGAATTTTCGCATGAAATTTTAAGGGGAGATTCACCTCGAGGAGATCAACCCAATGACACCAACAATTTTACGATCGAAGCACGTTTTCCGACGCCCGGCAGCGGAGGTGGCAGCCGGCGGCGGTGGTGGTGGCGGCAACCGGTGGAGATGAAGGAGATTGCTGGAAAATTTTTGGAATTTTTCGATCGGAACTCCGTTTGGCTTTTCGAACGTGTCCCACAGACGGCGCCAATGAAGTGAATAAGGTTTTACTCGGACTCCTTCAGCCACTGTACCTGCAAGAGACCAACGCTGGGAGGAGTCCTGGCGTCGGGCCTCCGACGCTCAAGTCAGTATCACTACAAATCCCAAGAGTATAATTATGAATGTAGAGAGAATGAGAGAATGAGATACTTTAGCCTCCTTTTATAAGGGGGAGTGTACCTTATGCCCCAAGTTGGGCTTGTCCAATATCATCCTGCCACGTGTCCTGGCCATGTGTAGGCTTATTCTTCAATATATTTTCATTTTATCCATTAAAACCGATCTAGTATAATATCATGTATCAGAGTGCTAATGTTTCTAATGCTTGTTTAGCATTTTGTGTTCTAATTTTCAATTCTTCTTAACCATGTAAGTTTAATAAAAAAATATTCTAAATTTTTAAATAATAATTTAAGTGTTTTGTCGTTTCATGAAGAAAGAGAAATAAGTTGATACTGTATAGATTTCCAATTTAAAATTTTACCGAAATAAAACGCATTTTTTTTCATAAGATAATCTCATTGTAGACTGTTGTCGTCGTACTATATTGATAAAAGTAAATATTTATATTATCATATATCATTTAGCTCTATTATATTTCAGTAAAAACATACGTATATTTAGAGCATCTCCAATGCTATAAGTGTGAAAGACCATTATTTTTAACACATGTCAATTAGTGATTGTAATGTTAATCCACATTGGAATAATGTTAAAAGACTAGAAATTTCAATGAAACTAGTATCTCCAATGCATCAATTTGATAAGAAGTTATTTGTATAGGTGGACCAATTAAATAATTCATTGATAAAAATATAAAAAATTAAAACAAATATAAAGTAAATTGATGAGTCATCATGTTTAACATGGTGTTAGATATTAGAAAGTGAGCTCAACATTGTCAACATTAAATGACATTCACCTCATCATGAAAGAGTTCATGACAAGATGCATTGGAGAAAAAAATAGAGACACACTTTCAAAAGTTGATGATATGGATGACTTTTTATAATGTCAAAAGTTGCATTGGAAATGCTCTTATAAACCAATATGTCTCGACCTAACACCACTAACACAATACCAAGCAAAGCAAATGACATTTTCTCAAAAAAATCCTTTGGATTGAACTATGTTGTGCTTATTGTCTTATAGCATGAGAGGAAAATGTTCAATACAGTGTTTTCAATATCGTACCGTATCGGCCAGTAATACCGGATACCAGCCATTGGTACGGTACAATTGCACACAGAATATCGGATTTACCGTTATACTGGTTTGTATCAGGGTCATACCGTAAATACAAAAAAAAATCGGTCATCAAAAAAATAAAATAAAATAATCGTTAATTTAAAAAAATAAAATTTAAATTGGTAGTTAGAATGTTTTATTTTTATCTTATTTGTATGTTAATATTAATAATTATGGTCATTTATTTTTTTATTTTTTTTACATTTGGTATTATATATTTTTATATATAAATATATATATCATTATATTTGTTAGTTCGGTAGTAGCACCGATATTACCGGTCCGACCAATAATACCGCGTACCGATGAGTAGATCGATACAGCCACCGCTACGTATTTAAAACATTGGTTCAATCAATGAACGTATACGTACCAATTTTAGCTTTGATATTTGAGCGGGCCATAAAATGTCCATCAATCAAACTAACAAAAAAATGAATTTTGAATAAAATTCAATAATTAGTAAAAAATCTTTTTTTCTCTCTCTTCGCTCTCGCCCAAATCAACCTCGCCGAAAACCTAGCCTTCACCGCCGGCTTCTAAAGCCTCTCTCGGCGTCCATCCGGGTTGCCGGTAGACTGCTCATCGTCGTGCTACCGTGCCGCCGCGGTGATACTCCCTCCTTTCTCTCTCTGGCCGTGGGGTGAGGATGGCGATTCTCGACAGATTTCGTCGATCTCGTCGATCTGTTTTTGAAGACCGCCGGAGCTCTAGGGTGGAGAGACTAGGAGGAGTGTGGCCAGTGGCTTGTAGCGGCTCGTCGTCTGCGTAGCCCCTGTTCAAGTTCCCCTTTCTCCAGCCATTGTTGACGGGCTCGGCGTCAGCTATTCGCCGGCGGTTCGGTGTGGCGGTGGGTGCGCTGTGGTTCGTCACTGGAGGTTGGATGAGGAGGTCGGATTCGAGCTTTGGTCGGAGCGATTTTCTTTCCTGGCTGGAAGGTCCACCCGATTGCGGGTCTTCGGTTTTCGCCGGAGCCTGGTCTCCGGTATCTCGGCTTCGCTGGGGTGTTGGGTCGGGTTCATCCTTGCGGGCTAGGTGGATGGGTGGTCGTTTGGGGCTGGGTTTGGTCCTTTGGGCGGAGTCGGCGCGGCTGAGCTCGGATATCTGTCGTCCCCTTCCTCCTCCTTCTCGATTTTGAGTTTGTGGGAGGTCGTCTGTCTCCAGATTTGGCTAGTGGTGTTAGGCAAATCTTGGATGGCTGTGGATTGGCTAGTGGTGTTAGCCGATTGGGGGACGATTTTGATTTCTGGCGTATGGTGTGCGGGTTAGTTCTTTAGTTTGTCCTGAGGTTTGGCACTTCGCCTTGCTAGGCCTTCTGCAGTGGCGGGCGTCGTTTCGGAGCTTCGGAGCTCTCCATGGATCTGGCTATGTCTGCTGTCTTTTCTGGATGTTTCTGCGGAGGGAGGCTGCGTGTTCTTTCGTTTTTGTAGTTCGTGTTAGTTGTTCTGAGTAGTTTGTTATTTTGCTGTTGTTTAGTGTTTTTGGTTTGGGCCGTTGGCCTCTGTGAACCTGAGTGTCAACTTGATTTCCCTGTTGGGGCCAGACACTCAGGTATTACCCTGTTGGGGTCTTTGTGTTATTTTTTTTAGTGCTTTGTAATGTGTTAGTATTTAGTGTGTTGCCGAGTATTCTAGCTTTGCTAGTTTTCGGATCTAGGCGGTCTTCGGATCTGTCCTTCCAGTTTTCTCAGTCGTCGGTTGTATTATTCAGCTAGTGGCTGTAACTTTGCACATTTGTGCGCTCTTTTATTCCAATATGCACACGTATCCCCTCTCCAATATGACGTAACAGTACAGTCAGAAGGGCATAATATGAGTAGCTTTCGTATCGTACCAACACACGCCGGAGCCCTTGCCGTAGGACCGGAAAACCCTCAGCAGGTCGCTACACATCCGCCTGACCGCGGGCGAGCATTCTCTCTGCATCAGCAGCAGCACCTTCGCCTCCCCGTTCCCCTCCGCCGCCGCCGCCACCGCCGCCACCGCTCTCCTGTCACCGAACCGGCAGCAGACTCCCCACAGCACCGTCACCGCGTGCTCTGTGGCCGCCGGCGACAGCTTCAGAAGCTTCTCCACAATCGCCCGCGCACAGATCTCGTCCCTGCAGATCTCGCTCCTCCCTTCCCCGCAGGCCGACGCCATTTCCAGGAGCCTCAGCGCCTTCTCCGTCGCCGCCGCGCTCATATCCGCCTCGAGTGCCGTCGCCAGCGCCCTCACGCCCCCGGCTCTCACCATCCTGGACCGATTTTTCCTAACCTGCGCCAGGCGCGTGAGGAGGCTGAGGGCGGCGTCGGCGGCCACCGGGTCGGGTATCAGAGCGAGGAGGGCCGAGTAAACATCGTCATCTTCCGAAATTGAATGCATTTCAAGGCAGGAACACGCGGCCATAAGGTCGAGAAGTTTTGCCCCGGCCGTTCTGAGGTCCGGGCGCCCCTTTTCCTTGATGGCAATCACGATTGACGCCGTGAAATCAGGATCCCTTGTCCGAACCCTACACTCAATTGCATTATGGTGGTCAATTTTGGCGAGATTCTGGAGAAGGGCGTTGCATAAGCGAATGATTTTCTCCAGATGGCTTAAGTCCTTGATTTTGGGGAAAAGGGAGAGGAGCGGCGGCAGAAGCCTCTCGTTGTGTTCTTCCTCCTCCGATTGGGAAGTGAGGTTGGAGATATGATGAAGAAAATGGATTTGAGTGTCTTGCGGAGGGGACCAGATTTGGATGATGCGGTGGAGGGTGTGGTTGGGGATGAGGTCCTTGGAGTGGAGGAGCTGCATAGTGGCGGGGCAGGTGTTGTTGCCGGCGTCAAGCCAGCGCTGGATGTTGGAGCGCTCGTAAGTGACGCCGGTGCAGAGGCTGACAGGGGAAGTCATGACTTCAAGGGAGATGGGGCACAGAAAATAGCTGGGCACTGTCTTCTCGTCACTCACCATTTCCTAATTTCTTTCTTTCGTTCTGGATTGGAGGAAACGGTTGAGAGAAAAAGAAATGGAGGGATTGATGGATGGAGGTTTTTGTTTTGAATGGATGGATGGATGCTACCTTAAGAAGAAAAGGAAATAAATAATAAATGAGTCAAAGAATGGGTGGGGGTGATGAGTATGACAATGACATGCATATTCCTGGTCCTGGNGGAAGCGAGAGAATAGAAGAATGGAAAGTAGAGAAACAAAAAATGTTTTGGTGTGGATTTGGTCTTTTCATCGGTCAATGAAAAAAGTTTGTTTTAGGTGTGGGTGTCTGCGTGTTGGCTGGAATCAATAGAGAGTGATATTTGGTTCTCCACTTGCTTTTGTCCCTTTCCATCATTACCACTCACTATTTTTCCTCATTTCTCTATTTGCTTTCTTTTCCCAATTCCCTTGTCTCCTCCATTTTACCGTACAGGAGGGATTTATTAGAATATAATCAAACACGACCAAACACACAAAATTTGTTCCTCCTTCAATTCGTATCCATTTTATAGTTTTAGTTACACAACTAATAGACATTAAAAAGTTGATTATATACGTTCGAAGTATATTAATATCTTTCCTAGCTATTCGTGTTCTATTCATTATTATCTTATTACCATAAATTTATTTTACTTCTGGAAAATAAAAAAGATAGAATTAGAAAATCTATATATACTAGAAAACTTATATATGCATATATATGGAGTGAGAGTGTGTTAGGATCACATAAGAATGATAGATAATGAAACAAATAAGAATAAATCTGAACCATTAGATCCATCAAGTCAATGGTCATGATCAATTCAAACTTTAAATATGGCAGTCAAATATGCGATGATAATTTCATAAATAAATGTACATTTCGTGATCAAATGTATAAATTTGACCACTTAATAAGGGCATTTCAGTCATCTCACATAATTTCCACTCACCACCCACTTTGTGGGTCCCACCATAACACACTCTCTCTCAAGCACACAAATACACACGAAAAAAAAAATTATTCACACACACGGTTCTCTCACACACACAAACAACACACACACGCTCTGCCGTCAATAGCTTCGCTGGCGGACAATATGTGCTCCCTGAGATGACGTCTTGGCCGCTTCTGGTCGTCAGATGCAGGGGTGTGCAGCCACTGGCGTCGTGCTCGCGTGCGAGATCGACCCTTCGAGCGATTAGGTGGTTGACGAAATCGAGGTGGACGAGGACGGCGACGTCGTGTCATCGGAAGCAATAGACAGTGGACAGTGAGTGAAGGTCCGGTGGCCGCAGAAAGTGTTGATGGCGCGATAGAGGATGAGGATGTTGATGGTGCGACGGAGGAGAATGACCATCACGGTGGATGCGATGACGGTAGCCGGTTATTGCGTCGAACCTCAGGTCATGGTGGTAGGCGGCGACGGAGATGACTGGGGCCTGGGAGACGATCAGGAGTTTTTTAGTTTTTTAATTGAGGCGCTTCATTTTTAAAATTTGACAAGTTCAAAGAACTTGATTTCAATTTTAAAAATTTTAATACATTACAATTTAATTCATAGGTCAAATTTGTAATTAATCTAACTATAATTAATATTTCAATATTTTTTAATATTTGGTTAACAATAAATAATATGTTACATAAAAATATGAAAAAAAAAGTGATAATAGTATTTTTTTATATAGTCTGGCCATCCGATTATTTTCGATTATGTAAATTAAAAAGAAACCAACATCAAACCGACATAACCGAGTTTTTAAAATAAAGAAAGACAATTGAACCAAAATTCAAAATTTGGAACTGAAAAATTGGACGCTCCTACGAATGATGCTAACCCAGAGGCCCCTGTTTAAGTTCCTTCATGTCTTGATGGAGTTCGGTTGAAGCTCTCCGTTCAAAGTAAGATGGATCTATTGAAAATAAATGCGGGACCGAAAATGAGGGAAATGGCTAGTAAAATGAAGGAAGCCCTGAGTGTTTTATTGTTAAATTTCACGAGAAGACGGAAGGAACACCGATTGAAGGCAAATTGATGAATATCTTCAAGTTGATGGGCCAGATTGTTCGCATAAAGACTGATCCATGGATTGATGATTTAATTTCGTCCATGTCATTAAGCCCAATTGAAGTGTCCATTTTCAGCATTTGTGAAACTAAAATGTCTTCTGAGTTGTCCTAGAAATCAAAAAGTCATTCAAACTTCATGTAAGCTTATTTATGTGGTCAAAAGTATGTCTATAGTGCATCATGAGTCCCAAAAAGAGGATTAACTCATCAGCACCTTTTGTAGTCTTTAAAAAGGCCATTTTGTGTTTTAATGAAATATAAGAATATTGCTAATATTAAAAAGATCACTTTTGGTGAGATTGAATTCTCTTTTGTAGAGTTTCAATTGTTTTAAGAACTTATCAAGATACTTAAGCAAGATCTTCTGGCGTTCACCATATCGAGGTTCTTAGCTAATTATATAGTTAGGTTGAGGTTTTCAAGCTCTAGGTACGATCAAACTAGATCTCTGATCTGGGATTTCGCTGCCTAAATATACGTTTGGTTCTTATGTCAATATATCCAAGGGGTCTCACGTGCTATACGTATCAGGTCTTTATAAACTGATTATGGTCGGGCCTGCATGCCCTAGATTTTGAAATGACCGTGTGAGATCGGAAAACAATATTTCTACTGTTTTTCTTTATTTTGAATGGTTTCAACTCTTTTGTTTTTGAATGAGTATTTGTTTTTGAATTATGATCTCGTTCCTTTGATCTTATTTATTTGTCAGCAATTCATGAACTTTCGTAAACTTTTTTCAAAAAACTTATTTTCTTTACAAGTGTTTTTAAGAATCCGACCTCGGTTGGTCGAAAATCATGGTTTCAGTTGTAACTTGATGCAAAATGGATCAAATTATTTTTTGAAATATTTTGTATAGACGATTCGATTATCTTTATTTTTCTATTGCATTAGCGAGCAACTTGTTGTGCTCGGCTTGCATACTTTCGGCACGATTATTGGCATTGTAGTCTCAGCGGGTAGCTTGTTGTGCCTGACTTGCGTATTTTCGACGCAGTAATTGGCATTGTGGCCTCAGCGAGCAATCTGTTGTGCTCGGCTTGTGTACGCTCGACACAATAATTGGCATTCTAGCCTCACCAAGCAACCTGTTGTGCCCGGCTTGCATATGCTCAATACAATAATTGGCATTGTAGCCTCACCGAGCAACCTGTTGTGCGCAGCTTACGTATGCTCGACACAATAATTGACGTTATGGCCTCACCGAGCACTTATTGTGCCCGACTTGTGTACGTCGACACAATAATTGCCATTGTAGCCTCATCGGGCAACTTGTTTTGCCTCGTTCGATTATTAGATTTTTCGGATATTTTAGTTGGCTATTATTATGTAAATTAAATGCCTGTATGATATTATTGTTGGGTTATATATATATATATATATATATATATATTAATGTGAGATAATATATATATGTTTGCCAGTTAAATTATTTAATTTTCCGGTCGTCGTATTTTATTTTCCTAGCTGGACCAGTAAATTTGATTAATTCGACGTGAATGTCTATTTTAATCATTCTGAGATAGTTAATTTATTTAGACAATTTCGTCTATTTAAATTAATTCGGGGTTTAGCCGAATATCAGAATTTTTCCAGTCTAGCTAGAGCCGTCTATTTGTGAATTATTTGGGATTATTGTTATGATTTTATTATTATTATTATTTACTATTATTATTATTCTTGAATGTCTAATTGTCATTAATTGCCTAAATGTGTATTTTTATTATTATTGTTATTATTATCATTATTTTAAAAAAAATATATAAATATATGTGTGTAATTATTATTGCCCGGTTGTTATTTAATTTATCGTGCGATTATATCGAGCCGTTAAACTATTAATTGGCTAAGTCAAGCCCGAGAGTTGGTTTATTTTATTTTTTTTTCTCGAGTCCGCCCGAGCGAACCGGCCGATCCCGGCCCAGTTTTCCCTATTGTGCGTGTGTCTTGAGGAGCAAGATAAATAAAAACCCTAGCCTAATTCATTGAACCGTTNCCGCTGCTCTGTTCGTGAAGACCCGGCCTGCAACCCCTCCGCCCGTGAAGCACCGTGCGCCGCAGCCCTCCGCGCGAGTCGTCGCTGCCCTCCGCGCGAGTCGCCGCCGCGACCTCCGCCTGCAAGCCTCCTCCGCGGCGCGTAGGTCCTTCCTCCGGCGAGTGCTCCATCTCCTCTGCGATCAACCGATGCATGTAACCCCTCCGGCGACCTTCCTTCCTTCGCGTAGACAACCACCGGCGCAACCCCGACGGCGAGCACCTCCTGCAGCGCTCTCCGCCATGACCAGCAGACCCCGCCAGCCCTGTTTTATGTCGCCGGCAGCCCCTGCTGCTTCCCGTGAGACCACCCGCGAGCCGCGCGTAGCTGTCGAGCCCGTGTCGCCGCTGCGAGCTGCTCCCGACGTGCCGTCAATCCCCGTTCGATCCTTTCTCGCTCATTTCCCGAGAACGGCATTGAGTCTTAGTCTGTCTTGCGTTATTTTTCGTGTTTATGTGATGTGCCGAGCATGCTTCGTGAATTTATTTGAGTCTTATGATTTTATGTGATTGATTGTTGTCGTGTTTATACGTGATCCTTGTCGAGTCGTGTGAATCGAACGAGAACACGTTAAATCGTGTTTAGTTGCTGTGGAATTGAAACATGACGTGTCCTTAGTCTTATGGTGAAGGCCTCGAACAATTTCGAGTCTTGTCGAGTCGTAAATAAATTGTCGAGCCCGTATGATCGCTGATTTTGTAATAAATTTATTAAATATTGTATACTACTCCGGTTGTTATGAAATTTTAAGTGTTATGTCCTTTGATGAATATAAGGCTCGAGCAAAAATTTCATAATTTTATATGGTCTGTAGCTATTTTAATTAATTAATGTAATTCCTGGGCAAAACCGTGTTAATTGTATAATAAATTGAGTTGTGCTTCAAATTTG